CAATAAACTGTAACCAGTAACTTTTCAATTACAATTTATTCCTAAATTGCTCATTCTTTCAGTAAATTTCCATAACTAAAATCTCATTCAGTTTCTTCCTATCTGCCTTTTCAGATAATGCCTCTTTCCCAGGAATCATGAGTTGTATGTTAAAATGTTTTGCAGGACCACTGGACTTAGCTTGGCCCAACACAAACCAGACTAAACTGGTTGAGCACACAGACCTCTCTACTGAGCATGCACAAATGACCTTTTGACGTCAGAGGGCTAAAAACTCCACCTCCAGATCCTGCTAACACTGCCATTTCCTGAATATGCAGAGGCATACAGACAGCTTGCACCTGCACAGATCACCGAAGAACTTCAAGTCCCTTAACGAATCATGATCCCCCATGCCTTGCATCACTCCTAACCACTTCCTCATAAATATTCCTTCTTTTCCATTATGGACAGGGCAGATTTGAGATATATTTCTCCTCTCTTCCCATTTTGCTGCCTTGGAAATAAACCTTTTCTCTTCTACAAAGTCTGGTATTTGACTTTCCATTGCATGCAGGCAAATGAATTCCATATGTTTCAGTAACAAAACTATTTTTAAAAAGCTAAATAAAATTGAAATTTGCCTTCCTCACTCACACTTGCCACATTTCCAAGTGCTCCCAGAGCCACATGAGGCTAGGGGCGGCCGTAATCTACAGTGTAGTGAAGAGAATACTTCTACTGCTGCAGAAAGTTCTATTGGACAGAACTGTTCTAGAACATTAAGAGGCAAGATTAAATAAGAAGGAGAACCTGGCAACTTAATCAAGTCTCTTACTATCAGTGAAACAATGTCCACCTAGCAATAAATACCACTGGATAGCTACCAGTATAGTTGTAACAATAACTACTGAGTAGTTATTAGCAATAACTAATAACTACCAAGTCTGCAACAAACTAGCCAGAGAACAGATGTGGTAAAACACGGAAGCTACGAGGCACCTTGCTCTCCTATACGCATGCACAAATGAAACTGGGCAGAGAAAATGAAAAGAAAAAAGAAAAAAACAAAGTGTTCCCACACTCTTTCTAAATTTCCCAACATTTGTGAAAGATGACAGTATTCTTTTGTGAAGGGATCAGCACAACAATCCATTTCCAAGGCCGTGCTGCTTCCTTAGAAGAAAACAAGATTTTTAATTCACATTCGAGAGCCAGTAAAGAACTGAACAGTTTAAGGTATGTATACATAATTTGATGTTGTCTATTATTTTCACAGTTAGGTAAAGACAATCTAATGCATTTTAAGAAAATTCCATTTGTGAAAACGTACTGCGACAGAAAGACATACTGGGCTCTCTATGGCTAAAAAGAGAGGCTCTGATACTATCAAACAGAACCAAATAGCCACAGCAGAATGAGAAGTTAGACATTCAGCCTCCCACTTACAAAATATATATATATATTACTATCATGAAGCTTTTCTTTCCTGTAACTAAGCAGAAAGCAGGTCCTGGCTGGAAAATTTCCCAACTGACCACCAACAGACTACCTGGCTGCCAGCTGATGAACAGCTCCTCCCACTCCCGCCTCACCCCTGCTCATTCCTGCTGCCCCACTGTCTAGTTACTCGACCATGCTAGTTGTCAGGCTCTTTTACCTGCTGGTAATCCTGCCAACTGGGCCAATTGTTGAGCTAGGGCTGGGTCTGGAGCTCCCAGACCCCTCAAGTCCATTCACAGACCGGGTTACAAACCCTTCATATGCCAGGCTGGGTCACCAGACCCCACATACACCAGGCTGAGTCATCAGACTCCTTCATGCAGGCCTATGAGCTAGGCAACAGTCCAAAAGGTCTCTGGAGGGCCGGCCCGTGGCTCACTTGGTAGAGTGCGGTGCTGATAACACCAAGGCCATGGGTTCGGATCCTATATAGGGATGGCCGGTTAGCTCAGTGGGTGAGCGTGGTGCTGACAACACCAAGTCAAGGGTTAAGATCCCCTTACCGGTCATCTTTTGAAAAAAAAAAGGTCTCTGGAGCCATAGGTTGGAAAGCATGGCTGCACGGGGCTGACACCTGAGGCCGACACCCGCCCACCTACCTCTCTCCCTCTCTCTCTCTCAAGACAAGAATAGCAACAAAACTAAAAAGATACATTGGTGCACATGCACACTAACTACACACACACATACACACACACACACACACACACACAATTTGCTTACAAAGGATGCTGAACCACACTCAACTGGACCCGAGGCGAGGGCCCTGACCAAACTATTCTATTTTCCCAACAACCACTACAGCACCAATTGAACAGAGAACAGCTTCACAAATATTCTGATAAGCTGCCACAATAACCAAACCAGTTTCAGCTAGTTTACAGAAACTATGCACTGTCTATGGCCACAGCAGCCTAAACGCATCTGATCTCGTCTGATCTTGGAAGCTAGAAACTATGCACAAGGTGTCTTTTGTGCCCTGTGGTTACCTTTTGACATCAGGAGCCAAATTCCACCTCTTTTCAATATTAAATCTCCTTCCAAAAATTAACCTGGGACATATGTTACATGTATGTTTACCCATTGCACACACACAACTTCCTACATAAATATTCATAGGATTTCCCCAAATCGATTAAATATGTACATAAAGTTGACCCTGCAAGACATAAATACTGCTTCCTCCCTCCCTCCTGTGGAGAGGGCACTCAGTTTCTCCTGAAGTTCACCTTTCCGCAATCTGCAGATTGCCTTTTTTCTCTGGAAACAAAAGTTTCTCTTTTTCTTCCTCAGCAGATCTCCATAGACTTTTTGTTAACACATTTATATAATGTCATTTAAATAAAAATTTTTGCATTGATCCACTCAATTTATAATGACGCTTCTGTGGCCCTTTTAAAAGGTAAGGCTGTTGAATCGTTTTTTCTCATTTTGCAATGAAAAACTTTTTGTTTTATACTGACATCTAGTGGCAACATTGTTTTATGCAGTTCACCAAACTGCTCTCCACTCTGAAAACCTAAAGGGATTTTAAGATATAATATCTATATATTTAAAAGTCTGAGCAGGCAGTGTGACTTGAGGAATTCCTAAAGATCACATTCCAGATCAGCTGCCTCAAAAGTACTTCTATCACTGAGCAATTCGTTTCTTTGGAGTTTCTGCCATTCATCAGCTGTGTGACCTTGGGGAAGCCGGTGTGCTTTTCTGCTCGGCCTCACTGCTCATCCATCAAGTGTGGCTAATAGCATGACCTCCACTGAAAATGGACTGTGGATATTCAAGAAGATGAACATGTGAAGTGTGTACAATAGTCAGACATGGAGTAAGTGATCATTAAATATTAGCTACCAGATTAAGATCCCCCTATTAATATACAAGTATCAAACGAAGGGCTGACACCCCACTCTCAACTTATTGAGGTCTGCTTTTTTCAAGCTGATAGTCATCTGAAAAAGTAGGAGCCTTCAGAAAGAGACAGAGACTACGTTCAGGTCTGAGGGACATCAAAGCAAAGAAGGGTATTAAAAGGCATATTTTCCTTATAATTACCCGATGCTAATTCCATTTGGGATATATGTGTGTGTATGAATCTACGTGGTAAACCACTTAGATTAATTAATGCACTGCCAATTCAATTAATCAGTTTTGTTTTTCCAGTACTGTGAACAGAAAAGAGCAAAATTAAAATGTCATGTCAGCAGAGTTTGCACCTCCTCATTTAAGCTTTAATGAGTTATAAACACTTTAACAACCACTTAAATAAGCTTATAAAGACAAATGATTCTGAAAACACCTTTATAAAAAAACCTACTAATAAGTCTAAAATAAACAAGTTATACAATTTTTCAAAATTTCAAACTGGTGAAATTCAAGTTACACAAAAATAAAGATTTCTAATTTAAACATCTGATTATGACTGAATGATGAGACTTTACTCACGACTTCTTATCCCACCCTGGCCCCAAGATTGCTCATCTAGTTTTATACCTTGTTCTGATTTCACTCCAGAAGGCTTAATGGCCATGTTCTGGCTTAACACACTATTCGTCAAACCTTCAACCCATACCCCCAAGAGAAGCCCCAGCTCTTAGTTTTGAAAATGAATTCTGCTGCCATCTACAGTCTTAGAACATACCTACAGGTATATTCCATTCAGTACAGTAATCAATATGGGATATTAAAAGGCCCCTCTGGAATTTCATTGAGGTCTACTACAGGCAGGTTGTAGACACTCCCCTCTAAAGATGCTTTCCAGTTTCCCATAGATATTTCCAACAAATGAAGCTAGATGAACCTCACCTACATTTCTATCTCTTTTTTCCCTACCTTTCTCTCAGTTGGCCCCAATCAAGCCCACCCTTACTTGTCCAAACTTCATGCCAGTGCCTGAGCTATTCCTAGAGTATAGCAAAGTTAAACCACTCCCAAATGAGAAACATAACTTTAACCTAGAAAAGAACCTAGGAAGCCATGATTAGTTTTAACCTTTAGCTCTATAAAAGTGTGGGAATAGAGTGGTCAAAAAAGAAAAAGGGGGTGGGGGTGGGTTTGGCCCCTATGTAGCCCCACATAAAATCCTAAGCAACACAATGCAGCAGCAAGTTTTAGCGCCATAAGGTCACTGAATTTCTTTTCATTGTTAATTAGACAGATATTAGACAGTTTATCAAATAACTGAAGTTTGAAGAGCATAACTTTATAATTATTTTCTCCAGTTAGGCATCTGAATTCAGACTCTTCCTTTGTTTCTCAGGTCTGAAATAAAGTGGCCTAAAAAAAGAGTATCGGAGAAGAACAAGCCTCATGTCTACCACGGAAAAAGTCATCACCACTGACCCTAAATATTTACGTACAATTTTGCAATACAGTTACCCTAACTGGAGGTAAAACATCAAATCCACAGATTTACAGTTTGAAAACTGGTAAACACCTTCAAAGTTTTAAATGTCCATGACTCAAAGTAATTTATTTTCAGGGTGTTAGGAGGCCAGTGAATTAAGAAGGAATGTACTTACATCACTTGAAGAGACTGTTCCTGTTTCAACAGCAACACCGCTACCACGCAGTTTCTATTACAAAATAAATAACTTATTACTTAGTTTTGTTTTTAATTTTATCCTAATTTATCAGTTTACAAAAGGGAGCTAAGCAAATTTTTTCCCTGATCCTACTTAATAATTCTTTTCCCTATAATTTTTCCCCTTTATCCTACTTAATAAAAAGCATGGGGATGATATAAGATATTTTAAATATCATTACACTTCTCTAAATAATATCTTTCTTAATCAATAAGTTACCGGAAATGGAACAATAAACTGAATAGCAAGTGCCAGCTAAATTCCATAAGTAAAGCTAGTGCAAATTTCCAAGTCCCAGGATTCACTTACTGAATTATTCTCCTAGTAAGAAAACTGTCTTAAACTAAACTATCTACACTATATTCTGGGAGCCTGCAATTCATTCCCAATAAAAGGCTATGGAAGAAGTATTTGTGCACAGCAAGAGAGACAAAGAGATCAGAGCCAAGCATAAGCAGAGACCAGACTCTGGGTACTCTGGGTACCCAGAAGAGGTGCCCTATAGCAGAGGGACTTGCAAAGCAGAAATGCCAAACCACAACTTAAAGGCAAAGACTCTGTGATAAAGAGTATACAGTAATAGAAAGATACAGAAAATATCTTGAAGAGCATTTATCTAATACCAAGAAGCTCAATTCTAATAATATTGTCCTAGACACTGAAATATTTGCTTCCACTAGTGATGAAAGAAATATTTTCCCCCAATTGTTGCGCATGGTTTCCACCATAGTTAATCATTCCAGAAGGAACAAATCATCTGTGAGGCACAATATAAATGTTATTCCCATGAGGAAGAGACATTCTTCCCTACCAACTTTCATTTTATGAATTCAGCTACAATAGAACCTTATTACCACTGTAACTGAAAGCTAACATTAAAGCAGAATGAAGTTTATTTAAAGGAAGAGATCATTTCAAAGTAGGAAAAAAGGGAGGGGTGGGGGGAAGATTTCCTATTTAACTAAGAATCCAAAATGATACACTACATTTATAAATTTAAAATCTCATTTTCACACATTTACTTTTCATGTTTTATATACCTTGCAATTTTAAAAATACTTCGCAAACTCAAAATCTTAAAAATGGTGGCTCCTGTAAAAATACTTTTAAAAACTAAGCTCAATAAAGGATTAAAGGGGCTGGCCCGTGGCTCACTCGGGAGAGTACGGTGCTGATAACACCAAGGCCTCGGGTTCGGATCCCATATAGGGATGGCCGGTTCGCTCACTGGCTGAGCGTGGTGCTGACAACACCAAGCTAAGGGTTAAGATCCCCTTACCGGTCATCTTTAAAAAAAAAAAAAAGATAAGACAAAAGGTAAATCTAAGCAAAATGTCATGGTATCTCTCAATGTGTCAAATTAAAATCTATTAAAATAACAGTCACCTGAAATCTAAATTACACCTTTCCAAAAACTTATTCCAAATGACATTTACTTGTAACCTAGCACTGACAACATCATAGCTATCAATATTATTTCTCCTGGTCCCATTCCTCCATGTCACCCACCCCCACACCAAAATCTCATTCTCTTCTACCTTTCCTTCCCCAGAATACTCCTTGCCCTGCTCCCTCATCTCACTCCTTTTCTGAGCATCATTGCCACCAAGCCCCACCCTCCTTACCACCTAACAATCACTGGAAGCATAAAGCAAACACTCCACAGAACCACCATCAGTGTCCTGTCTTTTGACCCATTTTGAGGAACCATGAAGACAAAAAACAGAAAACTTGTCCTTTTCCCAGCCATTACACCAGCAAGCAATGAGGGGTCTTCAAAAAGTTCATGGAAAGATTTGTTTCATTTCATTTTCTGTGAACTTTTTGAAGTATGCTCATAGTTTCCTCCATGGAGAAGTAGAGCTAGAGAGGCCCGGAAGCAACCACGACAAGTAATCAGCAGGCTTCACGTTTCACATCCAGCCTAACTGTTCAAATCCACAATGATGCCGTGAAATGTGAGGGGCCACTGTGTGAGGCAGAGTCATCTCGCAGCCGGACCCAGCAGATCCAGGCTCACCCAGAGATACCTGGAAGCCTGGGAAGGATTCTTGGCCAATACATGGACAAGCGGATTGACTAACAATCTGTAATGTGCTGTTTGCAGTTTAAAACTCCCTTGGTGGCACCCAGGGTCAGTTTGCTTATTGGTATAACCAGTTGGACAGCTTGGCCTGGTTATGTAACTAAAAGGGCATGAAAGACCTCACTAGGAACTTTCAGAGAGTTCTCCCAAAACCAAGGTTTCTCGCACAAATCTTGGTGGCCCACAATCCTGAGGCAGACTGAGAGCTGCACCTGGCAGTCAGCCAGCCCAAAGCCTGCCCCACTCTCTCTCCCGCTGCATGTTCTTTTCCATTATCATGCCTCACATAAGCATACTCTTTGGAGTTGTGCAGATCCTTTCAGTTCTGCCACCTGTGTAATCTCAGCAGCCACCTGGAAGGAAGATACACCCCGACCACAGAAAAGCATGAGTGGAAAGCCCCAAGAGGCAGAAAAGATAGAAAGGTTTGAACTGAAGCCAGTCAAAGAGAGAAAAAGTGAAGCATACTGCTTAGACCTAAGAGTAGTCTGGTTTGCTTATCAAGTTCAAAATGACATTATTTTAATAAAAATTTTTTTGTGATTTAACATATTTACTACAAATAGCTTACAAGAACATGAATGTTATATTCCTTTCCAAGATACTAAATTTTTTTACCTGTGAACTCAGCTGAGTTTTTATCCAATTGAAGTAATAACTTAAGTCGCTGCCTTCCATCAATTCTTTTCCCCAAGCTGCTAACTTGGCAATAATTCTTGCTGCCTGAAAACAAATAAGAAATACATTATTGAATACTATATTGACTCTAAAAATCACATCACATACCTTAAAAAACAGGAGTATAAAAATACTATATTGACTCTAAAAATCATATCACATACCTTAAAAAACAGGACTCATAAACATGCTGCATGCTTTCTATAATACTCAAATCTTCCAAAAATTATATTTTATATTTCATTTTTTAAAATATATTTTGAAATATAAATATTCAAAATGTTTTTTTAACTATTTCCATTAAAGTGAACCAAAATTAACCATGTTTTAAGAATTTCTTGACATTCCTTGTATTATTCTGAGTTTCATCAGTAAGACTGGGATTCCTTGTATGACCAGCAGAAAACAAAAGACCACAAAAATCTTTTTTAGGAGCAGATTCACTGAATCACTTACCAGAGTTCTGAGCAATCTATAAAACAAACTGCCAGCCATTCCCTTGCTCATTCCAAGCCCTTTGTGAATTCTACCTATTTTAGTATAATATATATCCTAGGTATTAACTAGCCATCTCTCTCAACATAAACAAATACACTTTATTGCTCATTCAAAGATTTCTTAATGTTCTTTAAGCTATAAAACTAATCATTAATTTTTATATTAAACAGGCAATATAAAATACTACTTCACATACAAACCCAATTTAATAAATATTCTTTCAGTACTTTCTGAAGGCAAATCACTGTTTTAAAACTTCAACTATTCAGAATAATTAATCCCAATAGAGAATGGAAGGCTAATCCCAGAAAAATTTCCTGTGCTGGTAGACCACTGTTTGTTCTCACATTTGAGTACAGCCAAACCAGACTGACAGAGGCACACTTTCACCATCAGAATGCCAGACATTTGAGTGTACTGATGTATTTGGAATTCTGCAACATGGGAGATGACAGGAGCACCTGAGTTGTGACATACTTAGGTTTTCACATGCGCAGCTAAATGAATTTATAGATACATTATCTAGTTTAAACGGATCTAACTTGTACAAAATAGACAACTGATGTAAAAGAATTCCTATTAGGAAACTAGGGATTAAAAACATTTTTAGCAGTGTACGCACAATCTAGAAGGAAAAGACAAAAGAACAACAGAATTGGCATTTCTACTCCTAGCATAAGCTCTTCATCAGCACGTGGTAAACCAATGGCAGTCTGACCCTCAAAATTTGAAACATTGACCAAAAGTAATTCAAAGCATCAAGAACATGCATTTGGCTGCACAATTAATAATGATGAATCATGCCCTAAGCGTATATTTGTTCTTTAATATACTGTCAATTTTATTATAGTACTAGGAAGACATTTAGGCTGGGCATCACCCAGACAGTGAAAACAGGTCTCTAGAATTTGAAAGAAGAAAATATATTAGTGGTTTTAAAAAAAGTATTCTTCAAGCCACAGTTTATTTCATGAGTCCTCCTTTTTCTCTTTTTATAAATGTTTCATAATGTATACAATATATGAATAACACTAGTATACAAATGAATATAGATACATGTGGAGGGGTAGGAGAGGAACAGAGGGGTTGACAGAGAGAGAGCACACATGCTCAAAAATGTTTCACTGACACTGGTCCTTGATTTGAACAATTTAAAGACATCTACTGAAACCAGCAGCCTCCACAGCTCTCATCCCATTCACCCCCCTTGGCGGCCCACTCCCCACTGGAAATAGAGAAGCTTTGTTGTACAAACGTTTATTCTCTCAACCCTGCTCTCAGACCTTCTCCAGATTCCACGAAAGATTCTTCAGTGTTAGAGCTTCCAAACATAGCCCTTCATGCTAACTTTAAAACAGAATTGTGTTTAAGATATTAAGAAGCAATTAAGTTATTGCTTAATTAAAATAAAAACTAAACACTGTAGCTGCTTCAAAGCAAAATTTAATTTCTATATAGTAAATGTGGTTGGTTACCTGCTACAGACAATCTAGAACTGTTTGCACATGTGAATTCACCACAGGCTTTGATGCTAATAAACTCATCATTATAGTTTACAACTCTTTAACTGCAAACTGACTTCCAGTGTCTCCTCCTTACTGAACACAAACAAAGAAAGCTAATTTCATAGCAGTTACTACTCTGGAAACAGGCAGGTTACCAAGTCATAAAAAGCCCAGGTTTGTTTCTTACCTAAATCAGGATGTGATCACAATTAAAAACATAATAACAATTTCAAAATATAGTAACATTAAAATTTTTTTAAATAAATAAATTCCCTTCTTATATTGTATTATATATTAAAAAAAATAAATGTGACAAATTCAAAATTTACCATATGAACAGTAAAGGGATCCTGACGATTCAACATTGGCAGAAAGTAGGGCCAGGCTGTGTTTTTGCAGCGTTTGGCGTAGTCAAAGAAAATGCTAACACGCTGGTGATTTTCCTAAAAAAGAAAATAAATGATATTACTAATCAGAATGAATTTTACTAAAGGATGTAACATGGTGGTGGGAAAACTGGACATCCATATGTAGAAGAATGAAACTCAACCCATACCTCTCACCATATACCAAAATCAACTCAAAATGGATTAAAGCCTTAAATATATTACCTGAAACTATCAAACGACTAAAAGAAGACATAGGGGAAACACTTCAGGATGTAGAACTCGGCAAAGACTTCATGAATAAGACCCCCAAAGCACAGGCAACAAAAAGAAAAATAAACAAATGGGATTACATAACACTAAAAAACTTCAACAGAGCAAAAGAAACAATTAAGAGAGAGAAAAGAATACCTATAGAATGGGAGAAAATATTTGCAAACTATGCATCCAACAAAGGATTAATATCCAAAATATACAAGGAACTCAAACAACTTAACAGTTAAAAAAAAACAAAAAAACTCAATTTAAAAATGGGCAAAAGAGTTGAATAGACATTTCTCAAAGGAAGATATACAAATGGCCAACAAACACATAAAAAAATGCTCAACATCACTAAGCACCAGGGAAGTGCAAATCAAAACCACAACAAAATATCACCTCACCCCAGTTAGACTGGTATTATCAAATACAGAGAACGACAAATGCTGGCGAGGATGCAGACAAACAGGGACCCTCTTACACTGTTGGTGGGACTGTAAATTGGTTCAGCCATTATGGAAAATAGTATGGAGGTTCCTCAAACAAGTACAGATAGAACTGCCACATCCAGCAATCCCACTGCTGGGTATATACCCAAAGGAATAGAAATCATCACATTGAAGAGATACCTGCTCTCCCACGTTCATCACAGCTCTATTTACAATAGCCAAGAGTTGGAATCAACCTAAATGTCCATCACCGGATGACTGGATAAGGAAAATGTGGTATATATACTCAATGGAATGATATTCTGACAGAAAAAAAGAATGAAATTCTGCCATTTGCAGCAACATGGACGAACCTAGAGAAAATCATGTTAAGTAAAATAAGCCAGGTACAGACAAAGAAATATCACATCCTCATAAGTGGGAGCTAAAAAATAAACAAATAAAAAAAGAAAAAGAAAGAAAGACACAACAATCACAGTAATTCATTGAACTTTCAAAAGGAGACAAAAGAACTGAGGTTACGGGGGCAGGGCAGGCAGTAAGGGAAGAATTGATAAAAGGTCACGAAAAATGATATTTTCCAAATAAAATCATATTTAATCATTATGATTATTTTAAATCACAAGGTGATTTAAAGAGATTATAAGTGACACTTCTCAGCCTGCAACTCTGACCTGCTGCTCCCAATGTTGTCTTGTCACCAAACACTAAAGTGTGAGCAATCTGGCTACCACACAGAAGAAATCAAAATCAGGAGGTAGATGGGCCTAGATGAAGGAGCAATAGGAAGTACCTTAAACTATTAACAAACAAACAAGGGAAACAGAGAAGTAGGTAAATCTCAAATGTTGAAGGTTACTTCTAGCATACATGATAGAAAACTTGCAACATATAAAGACAGAAAAAAAGCCCAGCATATTCATGAGCAGATGTATACAGAATTTGAATAAGAGTGAATTCTTAGTTCAAATTATGCAAACTTCACCTCTCACCTAAATTTTCTCTGCATATCACTGGCTAAAATACATTTTCTGGTCCCTTAAGTGAATATAGTTGCTAAGAAGCAATATTTGCTAAAAACACAAATAATCCAATAAACAATAATTTTAATTTTCAGATCCACATTTAATTCTTCTTAAATACATTGATTTTAATATTGGTCTGTGCTAACAGTTACCTATTTGAAGTGCAGACTACTGTCTCCTTAAGTAATGAATCATGATAGTTTAGAATAACAATTGAAATAGTTATGATAATGACTTTATCAAAGGACTCAAACTCCTTGGTGGAGGCAGGCAAGTTATAAACCTTTAAGAGAATAAGGATAAAGTCCTTCAAGTCAGGCATACTTTGTAATTGCTGTTGACATCCAGGCATGGTAAACAAATTAATCTTCAATATTATGTACTAACAACTAAACATATAAGGAAATGTAAGCAATTCTGTCCCAAAATGTTCTATTCAAAAGAGATAGAAATAAAATGACAATTAAAAATATGAGAAAATTTTTAATTATATCTTTGAAATAGCACAATGAATCAAATAATAAAGGTGTGTACAAATTTCTTCATGTAACTAAAATTTTACAACAAAATGCAGTTATTAAAATATATTAAATTGGTAGTGAGGACAATAGCAGCTGCCTAAATCTGAATCTCTACATTGATCCTTTAAAAATACAGATTGACAAATAGAACAAACAGAACTACACAAAACTCATGCCCTTAGAATAATAAAATCTCTAAGAATACCCATTTCTAATTAACCATAAAAAAAAAAAACACTAAATCCCAGCAAAGCTCTCCCACACTCTCACCCCAAGCTTTTGTGGATGGTATGTTTGGAAAATGTGTGTAGAAGGAAGGATATGAACATGGGAGGAGGTCCTAGAGTTGATCTATACAGTCCCTACCAGAAAATAAGATATACCGTAATTGTGAAGAAGACTATGTAAACTGACAAAGATTCCTTGTAGACTAGAGCACTGACTACAGGAAGCAGAGAGAAGTCATGAAAAGGAATCACTTTTAAGAGAGAACAAGATTTAAGAGAGAGAGAGAGAGAGAGAGAGAGAGAGAGAGAGAGAGAGAGAGAGAGAGAGGCATCTTTAAGAAATTGGGCAGTGAAAAAAAAAAAGAGAACAAAAGGGGGAAATTTTTTAGGGTCTTGCAACACAAAATGGGACCAAAAAGAACAAAGGACACACAATCTGCCCCCCACCAAAAGAAAGTCATCCATTTAAGAAACTGTACCACACTACAAAAAGAGAAGAGGGTGCTCCTAAGCTAGGAATGTTATAAATCACTAAAATCCATAATATGAACAGATGAAAGCAGCCTACATTTATACAAAGCTACCATAAGAAAAAACCAGAAGATACAAATCAAAATATCTCAGGGGATGAAATTCCTTTCCCCAAAAAACAGCCATGAAAAATACAGAGTTGATGGAATTCAGAAAAGGAATAAAAGAAAAGGACAAAATGGTCTCGAAAATTAAAATTAAATTATCGTTACTCACGAGAGAACAGATTCAAAAGTCTAAAAATTATGAACCAAGGATTCAATATCCACCAAGGTGTCCTTCAAGTATGAAGACTACAGAAAAAAAAAATTTAATGCAAAATTTAGACAATATCCTACCCTCAAGACCACCTTGAGAAATCCATTAGCAGACGAGCTTCATCCAATCAAGATACCCTTGGGAAAACTTCAGCAAAAAGACCAGTGATAAAAATTTAATATAGCAAAATAAAGATAGGAATAGGTATAGAATAATAATATATAAATGTTGTGTTTTGACAAAGTATAAAAATGCAACTAAAAAATGAAAGAGAGGAAAAAAAAGAAAGTAGAATAAGCTCATCAATCGCTGCAAATCAAAGAATAGTATTAAAAATGACAAACCTGATTATTAATGAATAAGACAGGGGATTAATGGCATTACAAAGGTATAAGTACAAAGACAGCTAACAGAAGAAAAATAGAAACCTTCCTATATGCCAAAAGATTTTTTTTTAAATGTGCAAACAAAACTGATCATGTAGAGAATAAAAAAGTAAATTTAACATAACGCACATAGTAATCATAACATAACACAGTATGATAGAGTTGAGATCAAACCTCTTAGTAATAGTCCTATTAAAAGAAAAAGGTGTTATCTAACAAAGCAAGACTCAAATCTATGCTGTATACAAGAGATACAATTAAAACAAAATGATTAACCTATAAAAGTGATGGGAAAATATACATAGGCAAATAGAAACAAGGAACCATGTGTTACTATCCTAATTTTAAAGTAGAATTTAAGTCAAAGTGCATTAAGTATAACAAGAAGGAAACTTTTTAATGTTAAATGCCACAATTCAGTATAGATACAACAATAATGAATATGTATGTACTAAATAACACAGCACCTTTATAAAATAGAAACTACAGAAGATGCTAGTAGAAATAGTCAGAAATTTATTTATAACAGGAGATTTTAACATACCACTCTCAGTATAAGATTAAACAGACCAAATAAACAAATAAATAAATAAATAAATAAATAAATAAAGGTTAGAAGACTTATAATCAATAAGATAGAGCTCATGAATATATATAAAACTTTATACCCTATAATAAAGAATATACCTCCTCAAATGCACCTGGTACATTTTAAAAATTGATCATATACTAATTAACAAAGAAAGCATCAGCAAATTCCATAAAGTTGAAATATTATTTTGAAACATGATGCAATAAAGTTAGAAACTACAAATGTGCTAGAAATAAATAAAACGTTTTAATGCATGTCTTCCAGAAAATTAAAAAAAAAAAAAATTAAACAACCCATCATTGAATGGGAAAATAGAAACTGAATTACAGAAATTCGAAAAAGTAACGACAATAAAATCACAACATATCAAAAGGGATATATTTTAAGCAGTGGCAAGAGGAAAATTCATATCTTTAAATACTTATATCTTCATAATAGAAGGATGAAAGTAAATTATAATTACAAGCTCAAAGTCCTAGAAAAAGAACAAAGTAAACAGAAAGTGGGCAAAGAAAATAGCAAAGGCAAAAGCAGAAATTAAGGTAAAGAATAGAAAAACTATAGATCGAATTAATATCAAAATCCAGATTCTTTGAAAAAAATTAGCAAAAGGACTTCTTAATCAAGAAAAATAGGAGAAAGTTAAGAAATAACATAGGGGATATAATACTGAAATAGATGGGGAAAATGTTAAAGTATAAGATTTAATCATAAGATTGAAGTCCTCTATAAAAATAAATTTGAAATCTTCAATAAAATAATTTTCTAAGAAAATAAAGATTTCCAAAATTGTCACCACTAGAGATAGAA